CTCGTGGGAGAGGCCGCGGTACAGTCCAGCGGCAGCGCTGACCCGGTCAGCGGCTCCTCACCTCGCTCAGAGGCCGCAGCGGGGCTGTGGGGTCTCGGTGCTCCCTTCCTTTTTAACTGCGTCGCCGAAATCGCAGAATCATAGAATGGATTCGTGATGAGAACAGGGAAAAATGTGTCGCAGACTCATAGAATGGTTTGGGTTGGAGGGCACCTTAAAGGTCCTCTAGTTTCCAGCTGCTGCCTTGGGCAGGGACAGCTCCCACTAGACCAGTGATACTGTAAAACTCGGTATCGTTTTGGCAACCCAGATGGGACACTGCTTCTGAATCTCGACGGATCCGTGGGATCACAGGACCTCTAGCCGGTACCGAGGGATTCTCGGGGAGAAACTCCGATCCCCGGACCAAAGAGCTCGGAGCAAGGTCCCTGGGAAAGCTAAGGTAAAGGCATTCTTTTTTTTTTTTGGAATTTGGTCACCTGCCCATAAGATGCGGTGAAAGCCTCACAGTGTTAGGCTATAAGGTGCCTAAGGGGTTTGCGTCCCCAGTTGTTAAGTTCCACAGGACAAAAGTCTGAGGAACGCCCGCATTTTGGTAAGGGGTTTGGGTCCCTGATTTGGTTGAAAATTTGAGTTTGTATTATTTGTATTTTTTTTCTTGTTTGTGTTTTGGTCTATCTATTGGAATTAAGATGGGTACAGCACCATCTAAGGGTGGTATTCTAAGGAAATCACCTTTGGGATGTATCTTGAGGCATTGGAAGCAGATCAGTGGGCCTCCAGGTGGGGTGCAACAAGAGAAAATCTAATTAAATATTGCAGTCAATGGTGGCCATTGTATAAATTAGAGGAAGGGGAAAAATGGCCTGTGAATGGGACTTTAAATTACAATGCTATGTTACAATTGATGTTATTTCTGAGAAGGGAGCAGAAGTGGGATGAAGTGTTATCTGCAGATATGTTTTTTATGTTAAGGAATCACCCAGAATGGCAGAGAAAATGCAGTATAAACTTGGCATCTAGTGACCCCTTTGTTTTGGCTTTGGAAAAAGAGGAAGGTAAGACTTTGAAAAGATGCTGTTCTGCGTGCAGTATAACACAAAGGTGTCTAAAGGTTTGTGAATAAGGAGAGGATGACATTGAACTATTGGTAGCCCTGAACAGCACTTGGGACCCCGAAACAATGAACATGACCTACTAGGAACAGGCAGTAGAGGGAGTAGTCAGCAGGGAAATGGGTCGGTATTAGGATCAGTATTAGGAGCAGAGGGATTTAGCCAGATAGCAAGACGAATGAGAGGCAAGCAGGGAGACGTTATACAGGCTCCCCTATACAGGTCCCTCCTCCACCGGGGACCGGTGACTGTAAAAGTCCCGTTCTCAATTAGGGATCTTAACAATTGGAAATTGGCAGCTGGGAATTACAGAGATGACCCAGATAGGGTGGCCAGCACTTTTGAAATTGTGATTAGAACTCAAGATCCTGATTGGAAAGATATGACAGTAATCGTGCAAGTACTATTTGATAGTACTGAAAAATAAATGATGCATAAGGCAGCCAGGACACAGGTGGAAGCACAAGTTGCTTCAGGGGCTCTCCCAGGAACAGTGGAAACTCACCTTCCTTCTGTGGACCCAGACTGGGATCCAAATATGAGTAGAGCAAGACAACTTCTGACCCCGTATCACAAATGGATTTTGTTTGGAGTTCGAAATGCAATACCTAAAGCAATCAACTGGTCTAAATTGTCTTGTAGTAAAATTGACATAAACTAGGAAAATGAAATGTAAAATGTAATTGAAGCAACCAAGGAAACCTGCTGCAGCTGCTCAAGTCCTCTGTACTGCCCCCACCCTATTTAATTATTTACCTAGTATTGAAATAGAGGAATAGTAACTAGACATGATTTACCTACAATTCAATTAAGTAACTAACCACCAGACAATTGTTGATAAGCAGGGTATTCCTGTCAAGAGAGTGATGAACTGTGTGCCTGGTCAGCAAACCAAGAAAACCACTTGGAACTGCCAAGATCACAGGAGAAGCAGGTAAAAGGTAATTCTGGGAGGGGGACATCATGACCACTGACTCTTGACCACCTACCCAAATGAGACCACCTACTCAAAGAGAACAATGAAAGAAGAAGATGACAGAGTCTGTGTGCTAATTTACACGTGAAGCAAAGAAATCTTGACCAATCATTAAAGAGAATAACAGTGAATATGTATTAATTGTTTGAATGTGTGATAATCAGTGTATGAAAGTGGATATTTTTGGAACTAAGGTGTGCTCCTGTTTTGGGAGGGGCACCTCATTTCTGTGCATTAGTGGAATAAACTTGGAAGTACCTCTGCTCTGTGTGTTATTGGCTTGTGCACCAGGTAAAGAACCCAGATTTGGGACAACAGTATGAGATCAAATAGGATCAAAAACAGTCCCCTACCAATTTTATGAATAAATTGAAAGAGGCTGCTCATAAATATGACTGTTAATCCTGATTCAGAAGAAGGTAGGAATCAATTAGCGACCTTGTTTATAGGGCAATCCTCAGATGATATAAGAAGAAGGTTACAGAAGTTGCAGGGAAACAACACTTGGGATCTGGGTAAATTGCTGGATGTGGCCTTGGCCGCCTACAGAAATAGAGAAAAGCAAAAAGAAAGGGTAAGCAGCAGGTTGATGGCAGTGTTAGAGATTAAGTGTCAGATTAAGGATGGTCAAAGAAGGGGATTATACCCAGGAAGAGGTTGGGGAAAAGGGAGCTTTCCCCCTATGTGGAATCCCAGACCTTGCTTGGGGGGAGATCATAGAATCATAGAATGGTTTAGGTTGAAAGGGATCTTGAAGATCATCGAGTTCCAACGCCCCTGCCATGGGCAGGGACGCCTTCCACTAGACCAGGTTGCCCAAGGCCACGTCCAGCCTGGCCTTGAACACCTCCAGTGATGGGGCCTCAACAACCTCTTTGGGAAACCTGTTCCAGTGCCTTACAACCCTCAAAGTGGAAAACTTCTTCCTAATGTTTAATCTAAACCTGCCTTCTTCCAGTTTAAAGCCATTCCCCCTCATCCTGTCACTACATGCCCTAGTAAAAAGTCCTTCCCCAGCTCTCCTGTAGGCCCTCTTTAGGTACTGGAAGGCCGCAATAAGATTTCCCCAGAGCCTTCTCTTCTCCAGGCTGAACAGCCCCAACTCTCTCAGCCTTTCCTCATAGGAGAGGTGCTCCAGCCCTTGGATCATCCTTGTGGTCCTCCTCTGAATGTGCTCAAACAGGTCCATGTCTTCCCTGTGCTGAGGACTGCAGAGCTGGATGCAGTACTCCAGGTGGGGTCTCACCAGAGCAGAGTAGAGGGGCAGAATCCCTTCCCTCGACTTGCCGGCCACCCTTCTTTTGATGCAGTCCAGGATACAGTTGGCCTTCTGGGCTGTGAGCGCGCATTGTGGGCTTGTGTCCAGTTTTTCATGCACCAGTACCCCTAAGTCCTTCTCCACAGGGCTCTCCATCCCATCGTCCCCCAGCCTGTATTGATACTAGAGAAACGTCGTATTTCCGTGGTGCTCTCACCTGCTAGTTAGCAGAGTACTGTGTGTACGATTGTTTTCTGTATGGTCTCATTGATGTGCCCTGAGAGTGAGTAGGCGTCTGTGGTTTGTAAAGGCACTTGGAAAGGTTAACCCTCTTCCAGAGAAGTTTAACTTCTTCATTGCAGGCATAAAAGCATTGTGGGATGTAGCCCTTTGCAGGCACTTGTGCCTGCTGGGGAGCAGCCGGTGGAGCAGGGAGGACCATGAGGGGTGGCAGGAACTGCTGTCTGTGTGTAAATGTTGTAAAATCACCACATTTGCTTGTAGTAGAAATAGAATGTTAAAATGTTGAGTGTTTTGAAACTTGTAACCATAGGACCCTCGCCAGGCAGTTACTGTTTTGTATCAAGAAACTAACAGGAATGGCACAAAGCAATGAAAAATTGAATAGAGAAGTTTTGTTTGAGTCCTGTAACTATAGAAACTTGTTATGCACCAGTGATGTTGCTTGGAAACCCCCTTGCCCTTCCTGTCTCAATTTAAATATCAAGAACCAATTAATAGATATTAATAGAAATAACCATTGATTATTTGGATATGGATATTGATAGTAATGTGTAATCAAGAGACCAATCAATGAAAATTAAAACCATGATATGTGTTTTGTGATAAATAATTTGTGTAATGGTAACTAGGTATGATCTAAACTAACTGTTGAACAATGTAGCTGTGATAACACCTGTCAAGAAAATGATAAGTTGTAGGCCTGGTTAGTAAACCAAGAAAATCTTATGGAGGTTCCAAGATTAAAGGGGGAATGGAATTTTAAAACCAAGCTGAGCATGCACAAAGATGGGGTTCATGAGCGGCCACAATGAGGAGGACTATGGACAACCATCAGAGGACCCTGGATGACCACCAGTGTACCTGAAAGCGCATGTGTCACAGGCATTTACATGTACTAATGAGTTCTTGGAAATTGTATGAATATGTTGATTGTTTCTCGGAAATACGATGAATGTGTATGTTTTGATTGTATATAAGTT